CCATCTATGCATGCGTGGAACGAAGACCAAGCTTAATATAAAGGAAGAAGTTGAGTCACAGTGTCAGAATATTGTGCATTTACCCTAGTCAGTGTATTTAGAGGGTAGAGTCTGGTAGATTTATAGGACATAAAACTAGTAGATCTATTGATAGTGTTGTGTACTGTACTATCAGCTAGCCTACCTATCTGTTATGTGACTCTTCAATTTTTAGAAGATCCGCATTCTTGAAGTGTTTTTGTATATTGAAGCCAGTTAAATGGTCAATATTTAGCTCATTACCTTGCTCTATACAAACAAACTTTACAAAGCTAATGAATAAACTTATCAATAATTGTTTACCCAAAAATTCCAAAGTGGTAAACACCACCTTGGCCTATTGGACATTATTGAATGCAATAAGTGCCCTTTTTAGCCATCCATAATGATCCATATACTATATAGGCAGGGTAAACGTGGTATATTCCGACACATTAAGGATGTAGCAAAAAATAAATGGATACAAAAAAATCACCGTATGTGCAACTTGAGTTTTGTTTGCTTTACATCAGTCTCAAAACACCGCACTACGCACCAGCAACAATGAAACGTCACAAACTGTTGCCATATTTATTTAAAAGCCTTTAGAATGCAAACCTACCAAATCCATATATTCTGACGCTATGTGCGACTAAATTTGGCCTTTTGTGAGACTAATTCCAGCCGCGCTTCAAACTCTACTAATTCGTAATTCCAACCATCTTGTGTTCGAATTCCGATCCCTGTGTGAGCTGTATTGGAATACAACACAGCTCAGAATTAGAACACTATTGAATATTGAACACTTCTTAATTAGGCTTTTAATTAGGAGCTATTAAGCATATAAGTAAGAAAATTTTCATTTTTGCACACAGCTCACAACGAGCTGTGTGTGTCCAATTCCAAGCTGTGTCAGAATTAGTTTTTATGTGTCTAAAACCGTCTCTTAACTTAATCATCTATTAATTTATTTACCACTTTAAATCAGCAAATACAAGTATACTTAAGGGGACCGGCTACCCTCCGGAAAAACTTCTACAGTTATTATCCGATCATCATGAAACTTCACATACATACGTAAAATGTAAAAATAAGAACATTTTGCTTTTATGAATTTTTCAAAAAAATTGATAGAAGCCAAAATTGAAAATTTTAGGGTAGCCAGTCCCCTTAAAGGATTCCTAATATATTCACAGACTTATTTAAAAGTCTCAAACCATAATATTCATTCTACACAAACAGTTTTTCACAATTTGGAATAGCAAGGTCAACTATCAACTTTAACACGATTTTTGATGTTCTCGCTGGTGACTTGCACTGTCTTTCTTTGGATCTCACATTTTCCTGCCAGATGGCAGATGGCCCAGACCTAGTGTTTTGGCAATAGTATGGCACGCAATAGTATGATGTCACTATTTCAACCATCAACAAATGTGTGGAACTAAGACAAAGCTTAATACAAAGGAAAAAGTTGAGAAGTGTTGGAATTACCCATGATGTCAGTCATCGGAAATCGGAATATAACCACATTTACCCTACTGCCATGGTCAGGAAGATGTGCCAGCCTGCCAGGTGCGCGGGAATTTATTTTGTCATTTTAACGACCTGCGCGGTGCGCCGTACTTTAGAAAGCTAAAATAGTTCTACTATTTTAGTCGACAATATACGCGAGTCGAACTGACAATAATAAAATGTAAGACATGTCCGGGTTACTTCTGACTCTTCCGCTTGTCTGCCTTGTCGGATACGGAACGTACGGTAATCGTAAACTGCGGCTATTATACATATGAAATGTAAACAGACGGTGTTCAGTGTTGCCATATGACTTTGGAGAAAATTTCTTCTAAAATAAAGTTCTAGATTTCTCATTCACCAAATTTCTGTATCAAGAAAAATCATATATTATTGAACGATAATTAAAGGCATACTTTACTGAGTAATGTGAGTATTATGTCTGTTCCTCCACAAACTGCTCATGCGCGGCAGCGCGACGTAGAATTGATGGCCGGGATCATAGTGGCAAACCAGGGCTTTTTTAGAATCACTTCATTTTTAATTTCCTCATTTACTCAAGATTTAAACCAATTTCTTAAGTATGGTAATGCTGGTATCCAGGATACTTTACTGGTCTACCAATAGGACTCAAAAATGAACTTGAGGGAGTCTAAATTTCTAAAAAACTCTCTGCTTTGCCACTATGGCCGGGATTGCGCGAACATGTGCGCGAAGAGAATCAATTTTCATTACATTGCGCCAACTGTGCACAGCAATAGCTTAAAAAAAGTGAAAATGCGCGGGAAAATTCACCGAAAACATACATCATCCTGAGTGTGGGCCACACTGTCACACACACACAGATCGTTCCAAGCTTTGTACAAAAATTGAAATTTGCTTAATCAAAAGCCTAATAGCTGTTAATTAAAACGTAATTAAGTAGTGTTCAATATTCGTTAGTGTTCTAATTCAAAGCCGTGTTGTATCCCAATACAGCTCACACAGCAAACGGAATTCGAACACGTGGATGTCGGCAATACGTATCAGTTAAATTTGAAGCGCTGACGCAATACGACTCACCACGTGTCGGATGTTGCCACACAAAGTGACGGAATATAGGGATTTGGTAGGTTTCCATTCTAAAGGCTTTTTAATAAATATGGCAACATTTTGTGATGTTTCATCGTTGCTGACGCATAGTGAAGTGTTTTGAGAGTCATGTGAAGGCAACAGAACTTACGTAACGCATACGGTTTTTTTTATAGTTTTTCATTTCTCGATGCGTCCTTAAAGTGTCGGAATATACCGCGTTTACCCTACATCATCCTGAGTGTGGCCCTACTGTTATACTGTTATTGTTAGTAGGCTAATTGCAACATAAAAAAATAACCTTTCAAAGAGACAAAGAAGCTGAAAAAATCAAATAAATCAATAAATCATGAAAAAAATCATTCATGATTTTATTTATTAAAAAAAAATCACCAACCCTGTCTACCTAGCCCTAGGTAGGCATAGTGGCAAAGCAGAGAGTTTTTTAGACTCTCCCTCAAGTTCATTTCTGAGTCCTATAAGTAGACCAGTAAAGTATCCTGGATACCAGCATTATCATACTTAAGAAATTGGCTTAAATCTTAAGTAAATGAGGAAATTAAGAATGAACTGATTCTAGAAAAGCTCTGGTTTGCCACTATGTAGGTAGGCCTACGATACTTTTTGTATGAACTTATGTCAATGTCATATCCAAATTTCTATTTTAAGCATTGTAGGTTGTAAACTTGTAATAACTCTTCACCTGCTTGATAATGAATATTGATAATTTTTTATATATTCCAAACGTTGTATTCCAGTAAAATGTCATTTGGTAACTTGCTTTCTGATCTTCAAACTTCAAGCACCAACAAGAAATTTTGTTCGGCTTATAGAATACCTAAGAAAATTGTAAATAAAAAGTATGCTCTGGTCTTCAATCAAGGTTATCAAACCTGTATAGGCCTAAGTATATTGCACAATGCACATTGTGTTATTGTGTGCATAGTGACAAACCAGAGATTTTTTAGAATCAGTTAATTTTTAACTTCCTCATTTACCTAAGATTTAAACCAATTTCTTATGTATGATAAGGCTGGTATCCAGGATACTTTACTGGTCTACCTATGGGACTCAAAAAAATAAATTGAGGGAGAGTCTAAAAAACTCTCTGCTTTGCCACTATGATTATTTGTGTATTAATTCGTCTGATTAATTGTGGGTACTGACTAAAACCCGGACCCGGACCGGTCCGCCGGACCCGGACCGAGTGACTTTGCGGTACTGACTAAAACCCGGACCCGGACCGGTCCGCCGGACCCGGACCGAGTGACTAAAACCCGGACCCGGACCGGTCCGGCGGACCAGGTTCAAAAAAATAAATGGCTGCAAATCATCTGAAACGTCGAGAAAACTTTTAATTTCACATATAAAATTTTTATATTTACTTAGAAAAATTTCGTCGCACCAACATATTCGGGTCACAGAAAAGTTCATTTCTCGATCGAACTAATCGATAGAGAATCTTCTGAAACGTCCAGAAAACATAAAAAGTTGGTATCGAATTTTCGAAAATTTACTTAGAAAAATTTCACTTCAGGTCCGGGGAGC